GTAAATAGAGATGGAAGAGACTTATTTTAGAAGAAGTCCTCACCACAAAAGTGACTTCTAAATAGTGGCCAAAAGGAGGCAAGCAAGTGAGTCAAACTGATATTTGGGGGTGATATTCCAGGAAGGACTATGAAATGTGGACTTCCTGGCTTGTTCAAAGAACTCTACAGAGTGCAATATTTCTGGAATGAGATGATAAAGATTTAGAGTAATGAGGTTATAAAGTAACTAAAGGCCTCATGAGAAGACACATTAGGTAGAGCTCAGGGTTCCCCATCCCCTGGCTTTGACTTTGATTCTATGTAGAGAGTCTTTGAGGAACTGAGCAGAAGACTGATCTGTCTGTACCGTGTTTTAATGAAATAATCCTAGCTGAGGTGATACAGCATACTAAGGAGAAGGCATAGATAGAAGGGAAGCCAGACAGAAGACCACTGAACCAAGTCAGCTGAGAGATGCTGGGAAATTGACAGAGGATACAATAGAACAGTTAGTGAGAAACTGGAATTCCTAATGGATTTAACATCAGAGTCAAAAGGATTTATTGATGCATTGATTTGGGGCTCATGGAAAAGCATTAAACTAAAGAATTCTGAGTTTTTCTTCCCCATAACTAACAAACATACTATTTTGATTATGATTAAATAAATAGAATTTATCAATACTAATTTTTATGCAGTGTGTATTGTTACCATTGAGTATGTTGTCGAAAGTCTGGGCAATTTATCCATACCCACTAAAAAAAAAAAAAATCATCAACCTTAACACCAGCAAAATTACATTACTTAAAAAAAAAATCATGGCATTGAACAAGTTCATTTTACACCTAGAATTTTAACTTGTAAGCGTAGGAAAGGAAATGGCTCAGGAATCATAATGTAGTGACTAAGAGGAGTTTGATTGTTTGACTTTGGGTCAGCCATGGAGCCAGTGAGGCCAAGATCACAGCTGCACTCCTGGTATGAGCCTGAGTTTTGTGGGTTCCACTCCACAGAGTCTATTTCTGACCTTTTATATGCACTTTCAAAAAGCATGCCCTTTGCTCACACAGGAAGCTTGGAAAACTATAAGGAGAGGTCGTCCAGGTCCATTATCATTGCTAGAAAATCAGCTCACAGCACTTCCTTTATTTACCACCACTGAAAGTAAATAGCATTGCCTTCACATTTACACCACAGATACGATTTACGGAATAACAGGGGAGTGCTCAGTGGAATGGGTTTTCTCAGAGAGAGAGGCAATACACACAGTGCAGAGTATGTGTGTCTTGTTAAAAAGGTTTATGTGGATGGAGTTTTGTACTTTAATGATGTCTTAGAAGTATAGAAATAACTCTTAATGACTAATGCATGATTGAATAAACAAAATAAAATCAACGTCTTATTTGACTCACTTTTTTTTGTCATTTATTCCAGAACCTACAGATAGGCCACCTCTGTTGCTAATTTCAACTTCTGAAACAATTGAGATCTTCTACATCAATGGAAGCAAAGTGGCAGCTCTGAGCTCAGCCAACAGGAAGGAGATTCACACTCTAGATTTTCTCTATAATGAAGAAATGATTTGTTGGATTGAATCAAGAGAGTCTTCAAATCAACTCAAATGTATCCAGATGTCAAAAACAGGAAAATTAACAGATGAAAGGATAATTAATATTCTTCAGTCTTTCCATAGTAAGTCTTTTGATTTTGTGTGCCTCCCTTTAAGGCCTTTGTTTATAGACACAAGAATGGGATTCTTACAAGTCTAGCACAGTGTATGAATTTTGGAGAGTTTTATATGCAAATATGGCTGCACTAAATCACAGTGCTCCTCCATGCTTCACATATATTGCAGTAGCTCTGTTTACCTGAATAGTAAATGGCCATGTTAATTCTAAGTCTTTTTTAACACTTACTTGGTGTCACCTAGTTGCTGACTGTTGATTTTACTGAACTATTCGATTTATGCTAATTTGTAGAACAAGCTGCGTGTTTGCTTCTTATTAAAGCAAACCAAGATTTTGTGCATTATTTTCAATAAATTAATTTTTGATTTGTGATTTGTTTGAACTTTTCATGACAGAAATATGACAAACTAGTAACAACACTTCTCTTTCTGCCTATGACCATAAATCTCATTGTTCCACCAGTACACACACCATGTACATAATCTCTCTTCTCTCTCTCCCTCTGTGGGGGTATACAGATGTGTTTGCATATGTCTGGATAAGCATGCATGAGCATTTTAATGTGCCTAGATATTTTCTGATGTTGAGTTCATCAATGCAGCTAACATAAAAATAAATAAAGAATAATATATACAATCAAGAAAGAAAAAGTATAGGTTGGAATAAGGGAAGTTTGTATATAGAAAATGTCTGGCAGTTTGTGCACACCATTCACAGCTGGCAACAGAGGGAAGCATGGTGCTTCACAGTGTATCTCACACACTGGCTTAGCCAGTACTGGAATTTGAACCAAAGCACTAATTCTTTGCCACATTAGTGATTATTCCATCAAATACAAATACATTGGTCTCCAGCAAGTGATATATAGAGGGGTCAAATGACTAGACTATTCCCTAGTCACGTAAGACTGTTTCCAAGCTTACTCAGCAACTTTTTCTCTGCACTAAATATGTCTTAATGGTAGTGAGCTCTTCTCTGATAAGCATTAAATAAAACGTTATTTTGTAAATTCAAGGAAAATAAATGAATTGCTCATCAGAATATCTGTAGCAATTTGTAACTTAGACTATATTTGATTCATAACAGAGGTCTCTATATAAATAGAACTTGTTTTTTGCTAGGGAATTCATAAAATTCTGGACAGTGTCTTCTATTCTTTGTGGACTCAAAAATTAATACACTGGAAATATTTTTAATTAGAGTAAATAAGTTTTGATGAAGTTTGATCTAAGCCATGTAATTTTTTAGTCAACTTAGAAAAAAAGTGCTTAAATGCTGGAAGTAATTTACTGATGACTCTGGGACAGGGATAGAGGCCGCACTGGCTGCCGGCTGTCATACTTGTAAGCCGTGCATTTAATAACATGTCATAGAACAGTTGCTATCAGATATGATGGGCTTTATATTCATCATGACCATTTGTGTGATAATGAAGTTTGAATATTTTGTGCATGTATAATTACATAAAATCTCTATCGTACCATATGAGCTATAATAATGAACCGATGCTGAACTGATGGGCGTGTGCTTGAATACGTGTCACTGTTCGCTGTTCTGGTTATCACTTTATTTCTGCTATATCTGTAGCATTTTAGTCCCATCATTTTAGGTAAATTTTCTCTAGCTTTACCTATGAATCTTTACTTATTAGAAAATATTAAAATCATATTTCAAAGAACTCTGAAAAAAAAAATCTAGCATGAGAAATCAAAACAGCCTGTGCTGCAAGCTTGCATAAATGTGATATTAGTAAACATTGCTACGACAATGTTGACATGTTATTTCTTATGCCACCTTTGCACATAACAAGTATATCTTTGAGTTATCAGGAAAGATATGCCTTTTTGTTTTATAATAAACATTTTTAAGCTCAAAATTAGGAGCATAAGCAAAGTTGAATGGGTGATCTAAATCCTTTGTTAGTTGATTTGGTTTGGTTATGTTTGGTATAATAGTAGGAAACCAATTGTACCTCGAATATGGATATAGAGATGTTTGTGACTATGCCAAACAGCTAACTGTGTGATAGGTAGAGAGTACTGTCTTTTCACTGATGGGAAAATCTGAGACTGTGGGAAGCAGAGTAATGCTGCACAGTAAGTACAGGCTGCTCACTTGGCTGGGGATCCGATTTCATAATTTTTCAAAACACTATTTTGTGCCTCAATCTTGGCTTTTCATTTTAGCAAATCAAATGACTAGATCCCCTGATACTAGTATCTGAAGCTCAGGATATATAAAGAATGGAAAAAATATGGAAATGGTGAGTTATGAGGAGCTGGTGGTTTGAGAAGTCCTACAAACACTTCTTGTGTGGTCCTCTTAAGGGTCTTACCTTCTAACATTCAGAATACTCTTAGGCAATATTGTGGGAGAATGAAGAAAAGCAGATAATGATATGCTCAAGAAATATGACTAAGGAAAGCCAGGGAAAATGATGGCAATTACACTTCTTACTGAATTTTATTCTTTTTAAAAATAATTTTATTATTTTTATTTTATATGTATGAGTGTGTTGCCTGTATGTATGCAAGTGCAGCCGTGTCATGCAATGCCTGCAGATGTCAGAAGAGGGTGTTGAATGCCCTGGAACTAGAGTCATAGACAGTTGTTAGCTGCCATGTGGCTGCTAGGAATCAAACCTGGATCCTTTGTAAGAGCAGTTGGTGTTCTTAGCACTGGGCCATCTCTCCAGCCTCCTGAATTTTATTCTTATTTTCAAAGATATTTTACATTTAGAATTTAACATTCAATTCTGAAAGAAATAGACTTGAAACTTAGTTTTGGAGTTAACATATTTGCAAATAAACTTGATTTCCAATAAAATATTCACACAAGATGCTCTTATAACAGCTAATTTTATCTTAAAATTTTTCTTGGGCGCACTCTCCTAGGAACATAGGTCCCCAGACCAACAAAGGGTGTTTACAGGAACGATGATCTTGTGCTTCCTCAAGACAAAGTATTCAGTAGTGAATGAAGTAGATACGGACATTTTCTGATTTAGCCTCACAGTAAAGATATTTTGTCATGCATACTTTCACTTTGCAGCTTTTTGCGATTCTCTCCATGCTTTCTAGTACTTTCTTTGACTTTTGTCCCGGATCCATTCCTGGGTCAGCTCCAGTTCAGTAGAGTAAGTCTGGCTAAAAGCTGCATTGTGGATTCTTCATGCACTGTAATTTCTAAATTAGCTCCATTCAGCTTTTATATTTTCAGCCTGCTTCTATTCTCAAATTTGAATCTCTACCTAGATCTAGGAAATTAAATCCTTGAAGGATTTAGAGTTTATTTTTCCCTTCTATCTTAACTTTTCTCATGTAATTCTGATCTCATGATTTTAAGGGAGATTTGTTAAATACCTATTTCACTCATTGCAATATCGTGAGATACCGGTATTGTTCGCAGCGATGATACAGGGCATTGCACCCAACATCTTAGATATGCTAAGCAAATGCTCTGCTACTAAGGCTATAGGAACACTTTAGTAGATTTACTGGTGGTCTATTCTGAGCTAAGGTATCATTAATCTTTCAGGCAGATCTTAGACTCAATCTTTGTACCAGGCAATCCTTCAATCAGTGATCCTCCTTTGTTCATCTTCCTGAATAGCTTGGGTTACTGGGGTGCAGCACCGCACATGGCCTTCACATGGTTATGAGTGAAGTTGTTTACTCCAGTGAGGACGTAGTTGTCTACCTCATTTCTTAATATTTTATTTATTATTTTTATTTTAGGTGTATGAATGTATTGCCTGCATGTATGTGAGTGCATCTGTGTCATGCAATGCTGTAGAGGTCAGAAGAGGGCTTTGGATCCCCCTGGAACTGGAGTTAAGGATGGTTCATAGCTGCCATGTGGGTGCTGGGAACAGAACCCTGGTCCTCTGCAAGAGCAGTCAGTGTTCTTAACCACTGAGCAATCTCTCCAGCCCCATCTACTTCATTTTTTAAAATTCTTTTTTCCTTTTATCAACATATATGTTTATTGAAACTTTGTGCATTTTATGAAGTCCATTTTAATCATATTTGGAAAACCCCTCCACTAATTGAACTCGTCATAGCCAACCACTGGATTTCATGCATTCTGTCATGTTTGTTAAGGCTTATCATGTCACAATTGTGTATCCAGTTGTCCCTCCATGTGAGTTCATCCACTGGAGCCTGGTCAGTCTATCTAGCATCACTCCCTTTAAGAAGATCAACTCTCCCTCACCTAGCAGTGATTAGCTACCAATAGTTCCTCAGCTAAGGTTGGGGCTTGCTGCTCATTTCCCCAGTTTGATGCTGGGTTTTTGTCTGATTGAATTTGCAGGGGTCTCATGCCTGCTGTCACCATTGCTGAAAGCTCATATGAGAAAGTTCCCAGGGACCTGAAAGACTCTATTTTCTTGTGGTTATCCACCATCTCTGGCTCTTATAATCTTTCTGCACTCTTTTTCACAATGGTCACTGAGTCATGGGTGCGGGAGTTCTAATATAGGAGTCCTATCCAGGGAAACATTCTGTGGTATCTTATTCTCTATAATTTGACCAGTTGTGATCATCTACGCTAATTACCCTCTGTTGCATGAGAAAACTTCCCTGACGAGAGCTGAGAGATGCATTAGAATTCTCTCTACCCCCTATTCCAATATGTTCCATGAAACTTAGGTGTAGAGGTTCCATTGTAGAGGTGTCACTTAGGGCTGGGCATCTCTCAGATATTTCTTTTCTGTGTGTGGCCTGTTGTGGGACTCTTCAATAATCTTCATCTGCTGCAGAAAAAAAAAAAAGAAGCTTCTTTGATGAATGGTGAATGGCATGCTTGACTGTAAATATAAGGGGCAGTATTTAGCACACAGTAAGAAATTATATTTGTATAGGGATATGACAGATAATAGAGTTTTCTCTAGGATCTATGGCCTCACCAGTCATGTGTATTTGGATATGTTTACAGGACCACGCACTTATTGAGGATGCTATAAGTCCAAACAGATAGCTGTTGATTACCCTCAAGTTCAAA